CCTCCCATTGCCTTGCTGTCTTCATCGCCACACTCTGCCATGTGCCACTTTCAGGTTCTCCCTGCACACACTGCTTGTGTGTTCCATTTTTTTTGTCATAGGTGTGCTGGCAGAATTACTGGCCTCCCATTCGCTGCTGCCCGAGGTCCCCCTAATCTGCCATGGGCCCCAGTACCGCCTCCTCATGCTGCTTGCAACAGGTCCCACAGGTGTCCTCATGGGTCCCCTGTACCGGCCTAGCCCATTTGCTGCTGTCTCCATCGCCACAACTCTGCCATGTGCCACTTTCAGGTCTCCATCAACACTGCTGTGTGTACCTTTTCCATTTTTTGTCATAGGGTGCTGGTAGATTAACGGGCCTTCCCCATACTGCTAGCTCAGGCCCCTAATCTGCCATGGGCCCTTGTACCACGGGACTTCCACTCATGCTGGCTAGCCAGGTCCAGAGTCTCTCATGGGTCCCTGTACGGCCTTCCATTGCTGCTGTCATCCATCGCCACACTCAGCCATGTGCCACTTTTCAGGTGCTCCTCACACACTGCTGATGTGTTCCATTATTTGTCATAGGGTGCTGGCAGATTACCGGGCCTCCCATTGCTGCTGCCAGGCCCGTAATCTGCCATGGGCCCCCGTACCGACTCCTCATGCTGCTGCCAGGCCCGTAATCTGTCATGGGCCCCTGTTGTCCCGCTTGTTGGCATATTCCGCTCGTTCAGATGCCTCCTTCTCCTGCTACTCCTCTTCACGGGATTCCGTCAGCAGTCCTTTCTTTGGAATCCGTTTCCATGAGACAACAGTTTGCGAGCGACAGCGACTCAACGTTTGCAGAAGCTGAACGTCCTCCTGTCCAAGTTGCTGCTGCCAGGCTCGTAATCTGTCATGCGCCCCTGTACCGCCTCCTCATGCTGCTCGCCAGGTCCAGAGTGTGTCATGGACCCCCGTACCGACTCCTCATGCTGCTGCCAGGCCCGTAATCTGTCATGGGCCCCTGTACCGCCTCCTCATGCTGCTGCCAGGTCCAGAGTGTGTCATGGGTCCCTGTACGGCCTCCCCATTGCTGCTGCCAGGCCCGTTAATCTGCCATGGGCCCCCGTACCAACTCCTCATGCTGCTGCCAGGGCCCGTAATCTGTCATGGGCCCCTGTACCGCCTCCTCATGCTGCTGCCAGGTCCAGAGTCTCTCATGGGTCCCTGTACGGCCTCCCTTGGGCCTCCCTGTCTCCATCGCCACACTCTGCCATGTGCCACTTTCAGGTCTCCTCACACTGCTGGTGGGTTCCATTTTTGTCATAGGGTGCTGTATGGCCTCCCATTGCTGCTGCCTCCACCGCCACACTGTGGCTCCACACTCTGGTTTTGGCCCCGTGACTGCCCAAATGAGTGAAGTGTGCGGTGATTCTAAGATCGACGGCACTCATCTGCATGTCATACTGACTGACAGTATTATTTCTCTTCCCCAGCAGACTCCAAGGGCATTTAAATTAAAGGTACAGTGTTCTGCACTAATATAAAGGCTCTCTGAAGCCTAGAAACACCCTTTTATAAGTTAAATTTGCAGCGAATATATTCGACTCGAATCGAAATTTTTTTCACGAATTCGCCGAATCAGTCGAATCGAATTTTTGAATAATTCGCTCATCTCTACTTATGATGTTGAGATCTTTACTTCTGGTCTTCTAGAAAGAAGAGCATGCTGAGCTGATATTCATATAAATAATTCCTTTGTATATATAGGTATTTATTGTAGGAGAGGACATATCTAATATATTTCGGCAAACACACATTTGGGGCAAAGAAAGATGTTTTCTTTGTACATTACCTACATAGACTTTGTTCTCCACATTCATGAATTATATTTCTCCTGGAGCTGTAATTCCTCTCATAATCCATTAATTGGAACCTATTCTAAAATGTGTATTTGAAACTTAGATTGTAAAATACTCTGGAACAGATGTCAATGATTCGTAGTATTCTATAAGGTACAGTGAAGTATGTTGACGCTGTACACATTCCTAGAAAACTGATAAAGTTGATAATAGAATATTATATATATTATAGAATATTTTCAAGTCAAGACTTGCACCCATGGGTCCCCTACTGTAGCAAACTACTCTGATTCTAATTAATCAACAGATGTTTTCATATTATGAAAATCGAAACAGCACTACAGGTTCCCAGGAAGGTCCCCAGCTACGGTGTTATATTCATTCATAATATGGCTGTAACTCAGAATTGCAGTCACTCCTTTTCTCCAGGGACAGCTGTGCATCCAGGACCACTGAATTACAGCACAGATATATAGCAAAATATTACAAAGTCATAAATTACAAACTGAAAACAGCTGTTTTGGGTGTGTTAGCTATCGGTAGTTCAGTGCATAGAAACCGAGGATTCTATGGGGTAGGTCTTGGATACCAGCAAGACAGTACATTCAATATTCTTCAGTTCCATAAATTTAATACAAACAAACAATTCATTAAACCGTTTTTTTTTTTCCCTCATGTTAAACACTTATGAACTTATGAATAATTTCCCATGGAGCTTGTTTTCTTTAAAAATATCACATTGTCCAGGTAATCAGATGCCCAATAAGCAATTTAACATTCACCTTGACTTCTGTTTTTTTAGTGTCCACATTTTAGTTTTTAGGCTATTGTACAGGTTTGAAAAACAGACATAGAGAAGTTTAGTGACCAGAATCGACCAATCAGATTTCAGGTTACTGTAGTCAAATCAGCAGGGAAAAGATTTGTTGGTGGCTTCTCGCAATTCCTGCTCATTGTCTACCTTAATGAAGCAGTCTTTGTATGACATGCATAATTCTTAATTAGGTCAAGAAAAATGCACACCCCCAATACTAGTGCAGCACTGACAAAACTCCTGCATAAGTGCTGTAAACAAAGCAGCAGGTTTGTAATATGGAACCTCTCCTGCACCACAACACCCAGACTCATACAGAACTAATAAATGGTTATTAATGGATTACTTTTAAAATTATTTTTTCCCAGAAAAAGGGCTGATAGTTTTGATAAACATTTTACAATTTTTTTTAAATTAAAAAATAGTTTAGTTTTTAAATAAAATATGTTCAATGCAATTTTTAACATGTGTAGCATTACCCCAGAAGGAGCCACTGTAATTTAGCTGGTTCTTTCCCAAATTAGCGTCGAGGCAGCCATGCACACAGCAACATTCACTCTGGCTCATTAAACAGTCTAGGGGATGTCTTTTTAGTATTTATTGTTGAATAAACTTGGAGAGGGTGCAGAGTGGTATGGAATATTTCAGAAACGCTGAACAATACCAGGAGCAAAAAAAGGTTGACCAGTACTGGGATCGTGTAAGGGTTGTCTAAGCTAGAGCTACCACTGGCCATTTCATCTAAAGGAAGACAGCACACAGTCATTAGGATCTTGAGCTTAGGTCAGTACTCACAATGCCTCAGGATCACTGGAAGCTTCCTACCAGTATCCAGATGACACTCTTCAGTGAAGGATAGGTTAATGCTCAAAATGCCACAGGACAGCTAGACCCTTTCCAGCTTCCAATAGGCGCTTTTCAGTTCTCCAGACCGGATCCTAGCTCAAGTATTTTAGAAGTAAACCCTGAACTATGCCACACCTGTGACCTTGATGAACATACTGAAAACTCCAGCACATGCCAGAGAGGCAGAAGACTCCTCCTGAAGGACTAGACGCAGGACTAGACCAGGACTGCTCCAGGCCTCAGACTATATATATATATATATATATATATATATATATATGTTTATATATATATATATATATATATATGTTCTTTAGCCACCAGCTGGGCACACCTCCCCAGGGACTATTATTATTATTATTAATATTATACAGGATTTAAATAGTGCCAACAGTTTGCGCAGCGCTATACAATATAAGGGAGACAGTACAATTACAATACATTTCAGTACAGAAGGAATAGGAGGGCCCTGCTCATGGAGCTTACAATCTAAAGGAAGGGGGAGATGATACAAAAGGTGATAGCTGCGAGGGATGATCTGGTGGAGGTGATTCAAGTACAATTCTTAGGTGGAGGTGGGGTAGGCTACCCTGAAGAAGTGAGTTTTCAAAGATCGCCTAAAGGCAGACAGGGTGGGGGCTGCCCGGACATGCTGTGGTAGGGAGTTCCAGAGGATGGGAGAGGCTCTGGAGAAGTCCTGGAGGTGAGTGTGGGAGGAGGTGATGAGGGAGCTAGACAGGAAGATATCTTGGGAGGAGCGGAGTGTGGGCGATTTGGCCGATATCTGTGGATGAGGTCGGTGATGTAACTAGGAGCAGTGTGGTGGATGGCTTTGTAAGCTGTGGTTAGTATTTTGAATTTTATACGTTGGGTTAGTGGAAGCCAGTGAAGGGATTGGCAGAGAGGGGCAGCAGTCGCTGATCGGTTGGTAAGGTGTATGAGTCTAGCAGCAGCATTCATAATAGACTGAAGGGGGGATAGCCTGTGTAACGGTAGACCAGTGAGGAGGGAGTTGCAGTAATCGAGGTGGGATATAACCAAGGCGTGGATGAGTTGTTTTGTGGTGTCATTGGTCAGGAAGGGACGGATTTTGGAAATGTTCCGGAGGTTGAGGCGGCAGGATTTAGCCAGTGAGTGGATGTGGGTACCAAAGTAAAGGTCAGAGTCTAGGATTACGCCTAGCACCCTGGCATGAGGGAAAGGACCAATGGTTGTGCTGTTGATCTTAATGGTAAAGTTGTGAGTGGGGTAATCGGGGAGGAGGAAATATTACAAGCTCAGTTTTTGAAAGATTGAGTTTGAGGTAGTGAAGTGACATCCATGCTGATATGTCGCTTAGTAGATTTGTGATTCGTGAGGAGATTGAGGGGGTGAGCTGGGGAGTGGAGAGATAGATCTGGGTGTCATCAGCATAGAGGTGGTATTGGAAGCCATGGGAGGTTATCAGTTGGCCCAGGGAGGAGGTATAGAGAGAGAAAAGGAGAGGCCCAAGAACAGAACCTTGGGGTACCCCAACAGAAAGGGGAAGAGGAGGAGAGGAGGAGTTGTATGTGACACTGAAAGTGCGCTGGTAAGAGGAGAACCAGGAACCAGGAGAGAGCAGAGTCACAGAAGGCGATGGAGTGGAGTTTACTGAGGAGGAGCGGGTGGTCCACTGTGTCAAAGGCAGCGAGAAAGGTCAAGGAGTATGAATATGGAGTAATGGTCATTGGTTTTAGCAGTTAGTAGGTCATTAGTGAGTTTTATTAGGGCAGTTTCTGTGGAATGTTGTCGGCGGAAGCCAAAAACTGTCGGGGGTCAAGAAGGTTGTTGTCGGTGAGGTAGCAGTTCATACGGTTGTGAACAAGGCGCTTGAGAAGCTTGGAGGCAAATGGGAGCAGGGAGATGGGTCTTAAGTTGTTCAAACAGGTGGGGTCCAGCGAGGGTTTTTTGAGAATGAGGGTAACCAGTGCATGTTTGAGTGGGGAGGGAAAGGTGCCCATGGAGAGTGAGAGGTTGAAGATGTGGGTAAGAGTGTTTAGGATAGAGCAGGAAGGAGGCTGCAACAGATGTGAGGGGACAGGATCCAGGGGACAGGTGGTGAAGTGGGCCTTGGAAAGGAGATCAGTAATTTCCTTGGTGGTAACAGGGTCGAAGGAGGAGAATGTTGAGTTTGGTGTTGGGCCTGGTATGTTGGTTAGAGGAGGAAGCTTGACACTGGAGATCTCATCATGAATTGTGTCGATGTTCTTATTGAAGTGACTAGCAATCTCCTGTGCAGTAAGTAAGTTTGTGGGCGGAGGCAGTGGGGGGGGGTGGAGTAAGGAATTAAGGGTAGAGAAGAGTTGACGAGGATTGGATGAGAGGGTCTTGATGAGAGTGTTATAGTAGATTTGCTTAGCAGCGTGGAGGCTGGAGTTGTATTTAAGAAGAGCGGATTTGTAGAGGGTAAAGTCTTTCAGGAATTTATTTTTACACCATGCTCGCTCAAGAGTGTGGCTGCGTCTCTTGAGACTTCTGGTGTCATCTGTTTGCCAGGGCTGAGACAGGCGAGGCCTGGTTCTGCGTGTAGAAAAAGGAGCAAGAGCATCCAGGGAGGATGATAGATAGTTGTTGTAGGCAGATGTGGCCAGCTCTGGGCAGGACAGGGGTGCAATTTTATCATAGAGGCGCTCAGTAGTGGAGTGAAGAAGGTCAGGGCTGAGGTGATGGAGATTTCTACAGGTGACGGTTTGCTGGTTGGAGGCATGGGGGGTAGGAGGCAGGGAGAGTGTGAAGCTGATAAAGTTGTGATCAGAGAGAGGAAAAGGGGTGTTAGAGAGGTTACAAGGAGTGCATAGGTGGGTTAATACAAGGTCAAGGGTGTTGTGATTGCAGTGGGGGGTGGGTTGTGAACATTGTGTCAGGTTAAAAGAGGAAGTTAGGTTGAGTAGTTGAGAGGTAGCAGGGGTGTGAGCAGGGGCAGACTGACAGCTCATGGGGCCCCCGGGCAATAGGGGATCATGGGGCCCCTGTGTCCTTGCCCACACCCAAAAAAGCCTATGAAAAAGCCAATGAGTGGTACCAGGGGCATCTCATGGGGCCCCCTACTGACCCCGGGCCCTCAGGCACTGCCCGAGTACTCAAATGGTCAGTCCGCCCCTGGGTGTGAGCATTGACTGGGATGTTAAAGTCGCCGAGGATGATGGCAGGCACCTCAGAGGAGAGAAAGTACGGTAGCCATGCTGAAAAGTCATCGAGAAAGCGTGAAACTAAGCCCGGGGGCCAGTAGATGATTGCGATCCTCAGAAAAACGGGAGAAAAGAGACGAATACAGTGCACTACGAAAGAGTGGAGGGACAGAGACGGAGGGACAGGAAAAACCTGGAACGTGCTTTGTTGGGTCCGACTCCGCCCCCTTTTCGTCCACTGGGTCTGGGCGAGGGATTAGCTGCAGATCCAAAAATTATCAGACTGCTCATTTTTACAATCCAGCCCACTATCATTCTAAAATGTTCTAGAATGCAGGGGGAAACAGCCAAACACAATCAAACCTGCAGCCTGTGAGATCCAGAAAAGCCTAAAGCAATCAACAGCTGCTCAACTGATTAAAGAGGAGCCAAAAATAACTAATTATGCCTAAACACCCTAGCAACTTAACTAGGAGGGTGCTACACATCTATTTTATTTATATTGTAATTTCACTTATTATTAAGTATTCATTTATTGTTTTGCTTAAAACAACTGCATATTACACATCCCACTGTAGAACTTTCTGCACTAAATGGCAGACATTAGTTTTTGCTGGCCTTGGCCTACAAACCTACCTTGCTAAATTTCCCTGGAGGCTCCCTTTTTATATTAAATCTACATAATTGGGGTACTGAGCTGCATATAGGCTGTGGTCAGGGGCGGACTGACCATTTGGAAACTCGGGCATTGCCTGATGGCCCGGGGTCAGTAGGGGGACCCATGAGATGCCCCTGGTACCTTTTTCATAGGCTTTTTTGAGTTTGGGCAAGGACACAGGGGCCCTATGATCCCCTATTGCCCGGGGGCCCCATGAGTTGTCAGTCCGCCCCTGGCTGTGGTAAATGTTTGTATTTAATCATTTTTTAAGTTTCTTACCCGACTAATCATGCTAACCATGGGGCATATGTTTGGTAGTATCATCAATTTGCATCCTCTCTTCTTTGCCTGGGATCTACATGATGCCTTGCCAATATATGACATGCCTGTAGTCCCATCGTCAGCCTGTCATGTCAAAAGCATACCTGTATCCCTATCTGACTATTGGCTGGAGTCTGGTTGTTAAATTTAAGACGGATGTCACAACAATGGCTCATTCCATTGAGCCATCCCTATCCACTCTACAGAGAAACTCTGTAGAGGGAGTGATGGTGGTCACGTGACCCCTGAATAAACTTTATTTAAAAGGGGCTTTTAAAAAAATAATACAATGCCATTTTAGAGTTGGCAGAGTAGATGTGATTTGCTAGCTTATTAATAGTATACTTCACCCAAGCATTAAGAAATATCTAATGTCAGCTGGAATCTGAAATCTTGAGGTCAAAAATCCAATTTTACAGTACAAGAAGACAGAGCAGTTTGTTAATGCCAAAACTGAAATGCTTGTTTAAGCTTTTAAATATTTATGAAAAAGCTATAAAAATATTTAAACTTTACCTTGAATTTTTACAGCTAATCATCTCTCCCCTAGAAAGAAGTAATTATTATTGTGTGGTGGGCCTTTGTGAATTGCTTAGGTTACAAAATGATATGTATTTGTAGCTCCATGGAAATATTTACCAATAAAGATGATATTGGGCTTCATTAATCAAATGTACATAAAATAAAAAAAGGTCTGTTTTGTATTTTGGATTGTTGCTAATAATTTCTACATACAGTAGAATAGTACTGTATCTCTACTATAAACTTTTAGTTCTGGATGTACATTTAACTAAAGGGACTTGAAGAAATTATTTACACGGCTCTGCCCATTATCTACAAATGACAAATAAACCCTTAAATTTTTTTGATCTGTGATGGAAGTGAGAGCGCAAACACCTTCTGTTTTAAGAGGGCTCCACTGTGTTCCTGTCAGTAAAGGCGAAATGTGCCCAGTCGCATAGTTATGAGCAGATGGAGAATTCCTGTTAGCCAATGTCGGTTAAGCCGAAATGTGCCTGGGCGCATAGTTATGTGCAGACGGAGAATTCCTGTTAGCCAAACCCATACTTGTGTTCATGTGCACACACAAGTGCGCAGTGGTGCACTCACCCGCCACTTGATTGGTGCCTAGTGGGCTTCTTAAACATTTCTGCTGCACTAGGACTTTGCCTTATGGTCTACAGCATTCTGCTACTTGTTACCTATTCCTGTGCTTGATCTCCTGTTGCCACCCTGATCTGTCTGACCACGCTTGAACTCTGCCTGAAGTGACTCCAGACTTGCTCTTTGACCATGTCTCTGCCTGAACCCTCTGTCTGTTTGCTTACCATTGCCAACTCCAGCCTGAACCTGACTACTCTTCTACCCGCTGCTCAGTTCCTGACGTGCCTACTAGTGTCTGACCCAGCTTGCTCTGTTTTCAGCCTAAGGTGGCAATCCTTATTCTGCTACCTGTTAAGCACATACTATCCATAACCTGCCAACCTACTAAGTGCCTACTGACTATCTACCAGCCTGCTGTGCCTGCTGCCCTGCGTCACGATTCAGCCTGCATCCGCGTGCACACAGACTTGTCATCTGCAGCCGACATCACCAGAATTTCCAGGCACTCATGACACTCCAGGCTCTCGTGCCTTCTGTCACTTTACCAGGGATACTGAGCAGGAGGTGTAAGATATTGCTTTCCTCTCCACGTCAGGCTCCATCACCAGGTATGCCACAGTTCCACAAATAGGATTGAGAATCTGTATCTGAGTTTGGTTTCAGGTGAGTTTATCGAATCCAGTGTGAAGTCCTAAAACTGCAAACTTAAAAATTAATCCAAATGAAATCTAGGGGAGGGGGAGGCAAATCTTGAAAATCCATTCTGTCCATTTTTCAGGTTTATAAGCGAGGGATTGTAAAAAATTAGCAGTGTGCCTGAGCTGACAGGGAGGAGAACTGTTAGTAAACAAAACAGTTCTCCTTCCCATCGGAGATCGTTGGAAATCACCAGGCGCTGGCAAATAATCATCGTCCAGGTCTTACTAATGATCTGTACAGGGGTAATATGATATATCTCTCTCTGGAGTCTATACCTCTTTTAATACAAGAGAGGATTGCAGCTGTGCATGGAGACAATCAGCTTCTAACTTCAGCTTGTTGAGGTTAAACTTTGACAATAAATCATGGAAGCTGATTGGTTTCTATGCAGATTTGCACCAGATTTTGCACTCTCCAGTTTTAGTAAATCAACGCCATTGGGTTTCAAGATTAAAAAAAAAAAAGATACCAAAAACAATACCACAATGCAAAATTAGAAATCATCAGGACAATTTAGCTTTAGTTCAGATTTACAGGTGTATGCCTAACTTTTTTTTTATGTGTGGGGATAGGGGGGTGTGTGTGATGTAATGTGAGGTGGTTTAGGTGCACATTGCTCTTGCATTTATTTTGTAAAAAGCTCTGTTGTCAATAAGCTGTCTTCAATAACTGCCTGATGCCTTCTAATCTTCCCAAGTCTAAAGTTGTCATCTTATAAGAAATGAAGTTATAAGACTGCATTTAATAGAAAAAAGTAGCTGGTATAGCCATGGAGAACAGAGCTATAGCGAACACTGCGATTCAAAGAACTCAAGCATAGTTTTTAAAGTAGATCCTTGTTTGGGTACTTTGTGACAACTTTCTGCCCCTATCTCCAACAATCTCCTGACTGTAAATCACTCCATTAGATGCCTTTCCAAACAAGAAATAAACTTGTATGCTGCGGCACTGTGACCCATATACAAAAAACGCAAAGCACTACAAGACTTCCCCCTGCAGTCCAAAGCACAGATTGGGAGCCAACATTCAAAGAAGCCCAACCATGCTAGCAAAAACAAATTGGAAAACAGAAGGTGGAAAAACGTCACACAGGAATCCAGCCATTACATAGATAGGTAAAGACACGGCTTCAACCTGAACTCCTCCTGGTTATACCTAGCCAAGAAGAGTTCAGGCTGAAGCCATATCTTTAGCTATTTATATAGTGGTTGGGTTTGCTAGGTATCATTGTGTGGCATTTCCACCTTCTGTCTTCCGATCTGTGCTGAAGCACATTACTATTGAATCTTATATTGTTTTTACAAAAAAAAAAAACAGTTTATCAGTGAAGTGCATGTGGATAGGGACAGACTGTCAAAAAAATATAAACTGCAGGCAGCAGTAATTAGAAAATATGTCCTATGTAAAAAAAAAGAGCAGCTTTTCTATGATCCCAGTGCATGTGGACAGGGACGGGCTGTGAATAAAATCAGTTGCAGCCAGCAAAATGGTAGAAATATGCCCTTTTAAAAACATACATTCTGCCTTTTATGACTGTAGACAGTAAATGTGGAGAGGCTGCAAGGAAGCTGCAGGACACACATCATCAGCCTGTATAAATCATCTCCCTTTCCCCAAAGATTCCCTAGAATGCACAGGAATTTGCTACCTAAAGGTAAAGCTTTCCATCCACTTGAAGAGACCAGAGCCTACAAGCCTTACACTAATATGTCTCTATGCACTTCATCAGAAGCAGCCCCTATGCATTTCCTCTCACAGCTCAACACAGTCTTAAAAGGGCAGCACAGTGGCTAAATGGTTAGCATTCCTGCCTGGCAGTACTAGGGTTGTTGGTTCAAATCCCAACCATGGCACCACCTGCCTCAAGCTTGCATGTTCTCCCTGTGACTCTGTAGGTTTCCTCCCATACTCCAAAGACATGGTGGTAGGTTAATTGGATCCTCTCTAAATTGGCCCTAGAATGTGTGAGTTAGGGACCTTAGATTGTTCAACCCTTGAGCGTAAGGGACTGATGTGAATGTTCAATATATATGTAAAGTGCTATGTAAATGGCCAGCACTATACAAGTACCTGAAATAAATAAAAAAAAATGGCTGCTTGGAACTTGCATTTTAAAGTGAGGGTGCTGGCACAAAATAACGCCCCCATTTTCGGCCATTCAAAACCACCTGACCTAAGGTCAAAGACTAGAAAGTGAATTTTTGGTGGTTGGTTAGCTTGAACTCAACCTGAACCCTACTCACTAATTAAGAGTGTGTGTTGTGTGTGTGTGTGTGTGTGTGTGTGTGTGTGGGGGGGGGGGGGGGGGGGGGGTACTTCGCTCCTTTTATCCCACCTCTCCATAACTTGTATGGTTGTACCAGTTTGTTGGTCTACTCCTTAACAGCCATGGTTTCCATACACTGCACTGATGATGTCCAACTTTCTTGAAATAGCTGTATGAAGACTGGAATTAGGCCGTACATTGTATATTTACTATAAACCGGAGGTTCTGGGTGTACATTTGGCCTCAGCAGCATAAAGAAATTACCTGCATACCTCTTCTCACTTTCATTAAAAGAGGAATACACCCTTTTTTTCTTGAATCTGTAAAGGAAGTAAGATTTGCAAATACCCTTTGTTTTAAGAAGGTTATACTGTATTACATACAATAGAAAAATTGAAACCGGAACTTATGTTGCTATAGGCAAGGTAAAGGGATAATACCATTACCAGATGACTTTCATAGTTAATAATTATGTTATGCAAAGTTATTTTAATGAGTGTCCCCCAAGGAAAGTAGAAGTTCTTAAACAACCTTTAAAAGGTCTAATGACAGAAAGTTGAAGTCGGAAATGGGGTTTAGGCCAATGAAACAATGAAGAGGCAATTTGGACCCTGACTGGGTTCAGCTATTTTACAAAAAAAAACTATTTTTTAGTCAGTACAGTAAAACTGAGCAGCCTTACTGATTCCTCCCACATGGAAGAAAAATATATTTTAAATATATTTTAAAAATATTCTTCCCATATATTTAGATATATATTTGAAATACCGGTACTACAATTTTGGCCATATTCAATATATTTCAAAATATATTTCAAT